AGACCCCATATCCCCCAATCTGTGAACCCCTAAATATCCCCCTCACATTACACCCCAAGCCACAGCCCCCGCTCCTGCAGCTGCCTCATCTGGGCATGGTGATGCTGGGGGGGGGGTCAGGGCAGGAGCCTGGGGGTCTGGTGCTGCTGTGGGCCTGGTTAGGGGTGCTGGTCACCCCATACTGGGAGGAACTGGGGGAGCACACAGGTAGGGGAACCCCCCACCCAGTGCACTGAGACCTGCCCAGCTCAGTGCACAGATGAGTCCTGCAGGCCTGGCCTCAGCCAGGTTAGCCTGGATGGAGTGCTCAGTCTGGGTGGGGGGGCAAAAGTCAAAGGGAGTCCCTTTACCCCCTCCCCAAGCCCTGTGACACCCTGATGGGGAAGGGGTGGCACTTATGAGTGCTGGAGTCATGGGATGGAGGTGGCAGAGTGGTAGCTGGGGACAAGGTGGGGCACAGGATTTCTAGGATTCCCTCTAGGATTTTCCGGTGAAATCTGGAAGAAAATGGGGGCTCCCCCAGTGCTGCCTGAGCTCGGTGGGGTGAGGAGCTGTGCCCCCTCCCACCCCCCTGACGTGTCTTTTAGGTGCTGTCACAGCCCCCTGTCGTGTGGCAGTGCCACAGCAGCACGCAGGGAGTTGCCAGAGCCAGGGTGCCCCTGTGTGCCCCCCAGCCAGCCCCAGATTTGGGGTCTCCTCCTCTGGCAGGAGCGGGGCACCTCCTTGCTCACATTTAGACGTCACATGTGGTGACACCCTCGGTGATGCTGTGGGTGGCTGGTGACAACCAGCTCCCAGTGGGTTTGGGCTTCCCCCACTGCCCTGTCACCACTCTCTGGGGGCAGCTGGTTTTGTCACCCATCCTATTTTTGGGGTTCTGGGGGTGGAGGTGCCATCCCAGAGCCTCCCCCAGCCTTTCCCTGCCCCTCCCCGGGAGGCTGGGGCCAAATGCAGTCCCTGGGGGCTTCGTGCCAGGGGGTGTCCCTGGGTGACAGGGAGACCTGGGTGACCCCACCTGGGAGGGGTGGGGTGAGCGGGGACAGGAGGGGGCGTCTGGAGTGGTGTGAGGCAGACGGACAGATGGACAGCGGGCGGACGGGCATCCGGAGAGACAGATGGAGAGACGGAGGGACAGATGGATGGAGGGGACGGGAGATGTGAGCACGGAGACAGAGGGGTGGGTGGGTGGGTGGATGGACAGACACAGGGGTGCAGGGATGGAGAGGGTGAACGGAGGGATGGATAGAAGGATGGACAGAGGGATGGATGAAGAACAGACAGAGGGATGGATGAAGAACAGACAGAGGGATGGAGGAAGGACAGACAGAGGGATGGAGGAAGGATGTATGGAGGGAGGGACAGAGTAGATGGACAGAGTGGTGGAGGGATGGGGTGGATGGAGGGACAAGTGTGTGAATGGATGGTCAAAGGATTGATGGACAGAGAGATGGGTGGGTGGGCAGACAGGTGAATGGATGGAGGGACAGGTAAATGGACAGAGGAATGGATGGACAGAGGGGTGGACACACAGGGGATTGGACAGACAGGTGGATGGATGGAGGGGCAGAAGGATGTGTGAGTGGAGAGATAGGTAAATGGACAGAGAGATGGACGGAGGGGTGGATGGGCAGAAGGATGGACAGAGGGATGGGATGGATGGATAGAGGGATGTGTGTATGGCAGAGGGGTGGACAGACAGACAGGCCTGTTTGCCTCCTGCCTCAGTTTCCACAACTGGCCAAGATCCCCCCGACAGGAGCCTGATCACCCCAGCCTGG